AATTATTGGCCGGGATGTTAAAAAAACACTCTTTTGACTTTTTGTCGAGCTTTCGGAATATTTTTATTCCTTTTTCAAGACATAGTCGTTGAGATTATTTTTGTAAGCATTGAACACTCAACATTAATACCACACATTAAAATATACAATTATGGACAATACATCATAAAATTTTTAAAAATTTGTTGTTAAAAATAGTAAAACTTGATTGATCAATCAAGTTTTACTATTTTTAACAACAAATTTTTAAAATTTTATGATGTATTGTCCATAATTGTATATTTTAATGTGTGGTATTAATGTTGAGTGTTCAATGCTTACAAAAATAATCTCAACGACTATGTCTTGAAAAAGGAATAAAAATATTCCGAAAGCTCGACAAAAAGTCAAAAGAGTGTTTTTTTAACATCCCGGCCAATAATTCTGACTGCAACCCTAATAAACTGTGTTGTTTGTATATATATATATATATATTATATATATATATATATATATATATATATATATATATATATATATGTATATATATATATATATATTGCTATGATGTTTTGTTTGTGTATGAGCAATGAGTATTTTAAAATAAATAGGGTTTTTATCGCGGTTATCAAGGAATTAGTTTGTAAGTACTTTTTTAAATTATCTTTATTATAATTATTATGAAACACACAAATATATATATATATATATATATATATATATATATCTAATATAAGACAATACAAAGACAAGATATAGACAATATAAATTTAGAACAACCTATCTTAAAATTGAAATTCTTACAATAATTAAATTATATTAACAAATTTTGGTACCTTTCTGTCACTGAATGCCTAAATGAAACTGTTTTCCAAAATAAAGGGTTTGATCACCACTCAATATCTTCGTTATTAGTCTCGGTTATCCTTGTTTTTGTGAAATTGCTTTTTCCAAATACACCACAATGTTTTAATTATCAGCTTCTAAAAGTTTAAAATATTTTTCTTCTTAATAGCATTTATAAATAGGCAAAATATTCTTTTCTTGTTTACTCTTCTTTTTAATAATCTTCTTTTTTATAATCTTATTTTTTCTTCTTTCAATCTCCAATCACCATATAAATATTATAATGTTAATTTCTTCTAATCTCCATATACATAATATAATTTTTTATTTCCAATTAATACTCTCTTAATACAATTTTTTTTCAATTTCCATGTAATACCCTTTTAATACTATAAAACTTTGAATCACTGATAATTGCATACTGTACTGTATAATTAATACTCTAATACTGATCACTGTATGCTATTTACTAATGAACTGCTTGTACTCTTTACTGACCGACTGACTGACTGCTTAATGAATTCACTAACTAACTCCATACTGTAATCCATCCTCCAAATTCCAGAGTATTTATATCATTTCATTGTTCCAGAATCATCTTGAAAGAAATCATATTTGAATCCTTCTATTTCCTAGATATATGAATGTTCTCGAATATTCTACTACGCAAATAAGGCTAACTTTCTTATATTGACGTCTTATTTGAATGTTTCAGATAATTCTTAACTTTTCTATGGAGAATTTTGTGGACATTTAGCCTTTTCAGATCAGAATATAAACTTATATGAAAATTAAACATATTAAATTAATAAATAACACTATTTTAAATCAGTAATTATCATTATAAATGTCTATTTTCTGTTCAAATTCACTCTTATGTCATAATACAGTGTATGTTTGGTTGCCTATGCACATGGTGCACTTAAATATATATAATAATTATTAAAATAACAAATACATTGCAAAATAAAAACTATTTGAAGTTATTATTATGCTAATTTCTTAAGAATACCCTCATATAAATACTTTTTATAATATTGTCTAAGTATATAACTTATAAATTATTTCTTTAATCACTATTTAAGTTCAATTTAGATTATCTTCGTTTCTCCTATATTTCACATTATCTCAATATATATATATATATATATATATATATATATATATATATATAATATATATATATATATATGTGAGAATTCAGCTAGACAGAGATTTACAAACTATTAATTAGAATTTGTAGAGGTGTCAGACAAGGGGATACAATCTCACCCAAACTATTTACTCTGGCGTTGGAAGACATTTTTAAATCTATAGACTGGGACAATAAAGGGATTTGTATAAACGGGAAATATTTAAATCATCTAAGATTCGCCGATGATGTACTCCTGATAGCAACAACTATGAAACAACTACGAATGATTTCAGACCTAGAAAAAACATCGCTTGAGAAAGGACTATAAATAAATCTAAAGAAAACTAAAATAATGACTAATACAAAAGACAGATCAGTAATTACCATAGGTGGAACAAACATAAAACACGTTCAAGAATATATTTATTTAGGACAAGCTATCAGAGCAGACAAAAGTAACCAGACTAAAGAAATAATCAGAAGAATAAGAATACGGTGGGCTGGGCTGCATTCGGAAAACTCTCATATACTATCAAAAACCAAAGAATACCTTTAAAATTAAGAACGAAGGTATTTAATGCATGCGTCCTACCTGTTCTGACATATGGTGCCCAGACGTGGACGTGTACCAAGAGCAACTTAGATAGAATAAAGAAAACTCAAAGAGCTATGGAAAGACAAATGTTGGGAATATCGTTGAGAGATAAAAAGAGGAACGGGTGGATAAGACGCAAAACCGAAACAACAAACGCTGTCGAGCATGCATTGAAATTAAAATGGAAATGGGCTGGGCATACCGAAAGATATCAGGATGGAAGATGGAATAAAGAAATTGGCCGCTGGAGACCATATACTGCAAAAAGGGCAAGAGGTCGACCGCAAATGATATGGAAAGATGACATTGAGCAAAGCGCAGGTCCAATGTGGAAAAGACAGAGACAAATGGGAGAGGCCTATATTCAACACATGAATAGATTTTGGGCTATAGATAGATAATTAATATTACACTCAACAGTCTTCCGATTTGGACTGCGTCGATTATCATTGTGCCAAGCTTTACATCCTCTTTGATGTCTTCTTCAGGGCTTCCAAAGTGTCAGTCTCCCAAGTCCCCAGACACGACTACTAATCAATGCATTAATACCAGTAGTTTTCACTAGGTTTACGCAGAAATCTGTTTATATATATATATATATATATATATATATATATATATATATATAATATATATATATATATATATATAGAAAATGTTGGGAGCACTTAAACTAGTCTTTTAAAAAAGGTTTTATTTGAGAAATCACAAATTTACAAATTATGGAACTTTTGTTTTACAATGAAATTACAAATTAAAAACAACGTTGAAAAATGTTTGTTGCACCTATTTATTGATCCGGTTATGCTGCGTCTGCTTCCGGGTCATCGGTCTACTTGGGTTGCTGACGATTATATATATATATATATATATATATATATATATATATATATATATATATATATATTAAAAGGCCAAATATATGGCCTAGGAGACAAATTCGTTAAACTTCCCGTGCTCGAATCGGTATCACTAAAGTGTTGTGATCATTTCGGCCTATCACAGCCATCGTCAGACACTTGGGCGGATACAAATTCAAACTCGGAAAGTAAAACGAATGTCTCCCAGAACTACACTACAGCGTAGTTAGCTTACAAAGGCGCCACCTGCTTTGGTGACCGTGAACGAAACGATATGATAATATCGTTTTCTGTATCCTTTGTGCTATGCGAAATGTAAAAGATTAAATCTTTTAGCGCAAGCCGCTATCACTTTATTATATTAAACGGCCAAATATATGGCCTAGGAGACAAATTCGTTAAACTTCCCGTGCTCGAATCGGTATCACTAAAGTGTTATGATCATTTCGGCCTATCCCAGCCATCGTCAGTCACTTGGGCTGATACAAATTCAAACTCGGAAAGTAAAACGAATGTCTCCCAGAACTCCACTACAGCGTAGTTAGCTTACAAAGGTGCCACCTGCTTTGGTGACCGTGAACGAAACGATATGATAATATCGTTTTCTGTATCCTTTGTGCTATGCGAAATGTGAAAGATTAAATCTTTTAGCGAAAGCCGCTATCACTTTATTATATTAAAAGGTCAAATGTTTTACTTCCCGAGTAGGTCTTACCGAGTCTTACAAAGTCGGAGATCTACCCCCATAATCGAATGCAGGCAAAGAGAAATAGAAAACTAACACAGCCTATACCAGTACAAAGTGGAGTCAGCCGCTTATAATTTAAGCCCACTGATATTTAATATAATAATGGATGAAATAATAGAAGCAGTACATCGAGTTCATGGTTACAGAATGGGGAACAGAGGGATCCAAATAATATGCTATGCAGATGACGTTGACGCTAGTCGCCGAGACCGAAGAATATTTCCAAAAACTAACGAACATTTTTAAATAAAGCAAGCAAAAAATATAATATGATAATCTCAGCAGAAAAAAAAAACAAAGCGGGATCACCTGGCAAATGGATTTCATCTAGCCATTTTTATTTTAGATGAAATTTCTTAGGACGTCTGTCTGGGAGTCCCAATAGGTTTTCTCTTACACCTGATATTGCCGAATTGTTCATACAAGCTTCAGCTCTGTAATCATCGTCTGGAATCCTCTTAAACCAAAAGTGAATGATAGGGTTGAAAACAAGAGGCCAAGGCAGTGGATGTTCGAGGCTGGATTAAGTAAACCGAAAGCACGGCTATGCGCCGTTCATGGTACATTTATCATTTGGCCTCACGATCATTTAAAAATAATCGATTATATCCCCTTCTTGATGTGTTTGTAACTCGTTGGCCGGATGGTAGATTGGTTCATCCGATTTACAGAAAACCAACTCCATCAAATCGTTATTTACACACTTCATCATAGTCAAAAAAATATGTTATTAATTACCTCATCCATCGGGCCATTGATATATTGGACATTTTAGAATTGCAAAAAAACATGAAAGAAGAAATGAAAGAAGAAAAAAAAAGAGGAAAATAAATCACTGTCAAAACTGACACAGAAAAAATGTTGATCAAAATATTATTTAGATTTATATTGATAAAAGCAATTCTACAAACGTTTTTAAGTATACCGAGGTATGATAATGAAATTCAGAATTTGTACGACTTTTCTTTTAAAGAAGCTATTTCCAATAATCCGTACCTTCTAGTCGAATTCTATGATCCAGAATGTTCTTACTGCCAGGAATTTGCCCCAAAATATCAAAAAATATCAGAAATTTTGCACAACAAACAGTTAAACGTCGTAATTGGTAAAATTGATGCAACTTTAGAAAAAGAAATAGCAAAAAGTGAGAAAATATCAGGATATCCTACAATAAAACTTTTCGATAAAGGTTCTCCAACCGTATACAAGGGAGATCGTTCAGTGTCAGATATTGTAAATTGGTTAGAACAAAAAGTAAATAAAAACGAAAAATAAAATATGTATGGTATAAAAAACAAAAAAATATTTTTATTTCTAATATTTACGTTAACTTTTTTGTTTGACTTTTTTAAATATTAATTCTAGCATAGTCTAGTATCGAAATAACACCAGGACAAGTAAACGGCAAATAAAAGATACGTATATTGAATATAAATTAGATAAATAATCTTGTTCGAAACAATTCTTTAATAGTAGTTATCTATACAGAACCAACATTAACCACAGTATCTAGCAAGAGAGCATATATTTTTGAAGTTATACTTCTATACGCACGGTCGGCGTTGGAAATTTGCACGGGAGTGAATCTATGAAAGCATTACATATGTAAGATAATGAGTAAGAGAGAGAGACAGAAGATATATTTTCTCTCTCTTCCTCTCTCGAGAATAAAAATGTTCCTTTTGTATACATATATCTTCTTCTTATAGTGCCATATCCCTACGGAACGTCGGCGACTACCATGCTTATAATATTATTATACTGATATCGGTCTTGCGCTACGTGTAGCAATTGGTCCGCTGTGAAACCTGTCCACTGCCGCAAATTCCTCAACCAAGAGAGTTTCTTCCGTCCTATCCATTTTTTTCCTTCGATTTTACCGTTGAGAATTAGCCGAAGGAACTCATATCTTGGTTCTCTGATTATATGTCCAAGATATTCTAGTTTACGCCTCTTAATAATATTTAATAGAGTTCGTTGATGTCCCATTCTTCGAAGAACTTCTTCGTTTCTGGTTCTGCTAGTCCATGGAATTTTTAGTATCCTTCGATACAACCACATCTCAAACGCCTCGATTTTATTCATGATATCGGCGTTTAAAGTCCAAGTTTCACATCCATACAAAAGTACAGACCACACGTAACATCTTGTAAACTTTTCACGGATTTCCAAATTTAATGAGTTATTGGATAATAGAGGCTTGAATTTTTGAAATGAGTCTCTTGCCTGTTGAATTTGAATTTCGAAGGATGGATCTAGATTTTGGGTAATCCAACATCCAAGGTATTTGAATCTCTGAACTCTCTGCAGCGGTTGTTGGTTTAATATCAGTTGGGTTGCGCCGATATCCACTTGGAAAAGGATAATGCAAGCAAATAACCTTTATCATTTTCCATTTGTTTTAAACGTTTTAACGTTTGAAATTCCTTTCCCCAGGTAGTTGTAGCTTCCTCCGTCGTTAGTGTTGGTTGTTGCCCTGGAAACCATCAGGTCTAACTCTAATGCCACAAATTCGTTGCATTGCTCCTGTAGTGATCCTTTCCCAAGTTAATATGCTCCTTTTCTAACTTGGCTGCACCGTACTGAAGACGGCCAATAGTCAGAAATACGTATATACGGTTGCCTTCCATCAATGTACCATTTTTGGTTTTTTGCTTTGCGGGACATGCCATTACTTTTTACTTTTATTATTCACTCGCATTATCCTTTTCCATATATATATATATATATATTATATATATATATATATATATATATATATATATATATATATATATATAGCCTTAGTGTAATTTTTTGTATATCAGAGAATATTATTTGTTTGCCAACCCTCCTGATGGCATGTGCCAAGGAGAACAAATGTCACTAAAAGTATTGTATTGTATTTTTTTTATATTGAGAAATAAAAGGCATTATTGATTGATTGATTGATATATATATATATATATATATATATATATATATATATATATATATACACCACCAAATATGAAGTCATGATATAAATATAAAGTTAATAGTTTATAAAACAGTTGTAATTCAAATTTTGAAGTATATAATTACTATCATGGAGTTTATTTTTTCATTTCAATCATTTCATTGTAAACAAGTTGGTTTCTGAATTATGTGATTTAAACGAAATGTAGCAATACTTAAGTGATCAAATAGTGTAAATTTTTTAGTCGAATATTCAATTAATATTAAAAAAACAAAAAAACTTACTTATTCACTTATTCTCTTCTAAAACTATCATCAACGATCAGATTAACAGCCATAATCAGTCGGCAATATATGAAACTGTATATAAATTTTCGTTACTTTTTAATATCCGTAACGACTCGGTACTTTAACTATCAATAGCCGGTATGTTATACCCGTTACTTTCGGAACCTTACTCGGAGAGCTCACCACAAACAAATATTTAAAACTAAAAAAGTGAAATATTAGATCCTTTTTCTGGTTTGTGAACCATCGTTCTGCCAATTTCTTTTCATTTATATTAAAAATAGTATATTTCTTTTTATTGCAGTTACCTAATAAAGTATTATAATAAAATGTGTTATATCAAAGAAACCCGGGACGCCTCTTTGGTGTTTACATTTAACGGAAAGCTTACCCAAATGTCTGATGAACACATTTGGCTTCATAAACGTCATTATATTTATTTGAAGATTTTAACTGAAATAATTTTAGTTTAGATGTCATACTAGTAGACCCTTTTTATTGGAATAATAATTAGACCAATTGACCTTCATACTTCTACTTGCACAGTAAAATATTCGTTGTCGCAGTAAACCAAAACAGTCGTATATTCGTGGAATAGCCTATATATATATATATATATATATATATATATATAAATATATATATAATATAATATATATTAATATTATTATTTGTGTGATATGTTTTGTATTATTTATTAAATGTTATCAAATGTTACATTACAATCCATCTGTATGGATTGCAATGTAATCTGGATAGTTACTTAAGATCTCCTTGAGATTAATATGACAAAATTCAGTTTGTTATTTTGTAATATACTTCGTGCTAGTCCTTAGACGAACTAAGTGATTAATTCCTTTTGTAACTTAAACATCATAGTTTTTAATTATCAAAAATGAAACTCAAAGTTAATCAAACTACATATTTAGTGACTTCAAACATGTACATCCAGTAAGCATTAACCACACTTTTTGTAATAAACTTGGTGAAAATTTTAACGTTCACCTTTGATTTAATTAACTTTAATTAATTTGATTTAATTATTTGAGGATAGCACTGATGATGTAATAGTTATTCTGAAAAGTTCTGTGATGTAGCCCGATAGGATTTTTATTTATAAACCTTTTATAAATAAAAAAAATTGTGATACATGGTATACAGCCAACTACAGGAATTTAGTTTCCTTGTGGATTATCTCAATTAGCTATCGTAAAAGATAATATTTAGTTTTGAATAATTAAAAACTCAAAGCACTTACCTCTCAAAGTATAGTAAAATATATCCACATTATGACTCAGTTCTTCTCTTACATTTGCATTATAAAAACATATATTTTTAAAAACAGACATCGTTGGAATGATTGAATCTGGGTAATCTGAATAATCCTTTTCCGTCAGTGCACTTTTCATCACGTTAAGCAATAAAGAAAGACCACCGGAATCTAAAAAGATTTGATGAAGCAACGGGTCTTCCAACATAACACTGATTTGGTTCAATGCAGATCTTTTTATCACCGGTTCTATATTTGTCGAGTTGAGTACCTCTAGTACTTGGTACAAACTACTGGGCTAAAATTTAAAGATTTTGTTAAAGTGATATGAGGTTGAATGTTCGAATAAATTAACTTTAATCAAATGAAAGGCAGATATCGAGCACAGTTTATGTATTATTAAATATTGCCCATGTACTTTCGCTCCGAGAACATCTTCAGGGACATTTCGTCAAATTTGGCCTATACAACAATCTATTGAGAATGCCATAAACATAAAATTATACATTAACACTACACGACACAAGGACAGTACAGTTTAAGATTAAAAAAAAACGGCGAAGCTACATATTGGTTGGCATCAGAAGAGAGAATGATGCAGTTGAATGTTGCCTGTGCTCGATATCTGCCTTTCATTTGATTAAAATTAAGATTTTGTTGTTAAAAACATCTATTTAGTGCCAAACAAACTCAAAAGAACTAAAAAGTGTTCAATAAATTAAAAAAGGGAAAATAAAAAATGAAATAAAATGTAATCAAAATAAAAGTTTAATAATATAACCGATTTTTATCCATCAACGCACTATTGATTTTATTCCACATTTGCCTTGTGTGAAAATTGAAGTTTTCTCCAAAATGTTTACGAAATTATAAAACTGGTACTCAATTATACATCTAAATGTTAAATCTGTAACTTTTAATCTTCTTCTTCTACACTCCAAGGATCATGCTTCAAGCCTGTTTCGTCCTCAGCTTTGCCACCTTCTTCAAGGCCGTCTCACGTTTCTTCTACCGCGTGATTTATATTTTACAACCCGTCTTACCAAACTCTCCATTTTAACGTGATTTGTTGTATTATGTTATTCATCGAGAACATATTTAATTCGGCCTCTATATTTTTATTTCTGGTTTGGTCCCTCAATGTGCATCCTTTTGTTCTTCTTCAAAATTTAATTTTGGCTGACTGTATTATTTTTCAAAAAAATTTAAATACCTAATTTACTTCGGCACATAGCTAGAAGAACTATTGGAAGTAGAAGTAAAAGTAGAAGGCCGAAGAAGAAGCGGAAGATCCTAATGGCACAGGATCGCAGCCAATAGATACAGAAAGTTAATTATATTTAGAGTGTCACCACGCCCTGACAAGGGCCTAAGGAATGAAGAGGAGGAGTGTTCTTTGTTTTTCTTGTTTTTGCATCGCCTAAGTTTCTCTACCATAGGTTAAAACCGGTGCTGCCATTACTTTATAAAATTTAATTTTTATTTTTTTTCTTGTTTTATATTTATGTATCTTGTTGGTAATGTCTGTCTTTCTTCACAACCTAAAAGTGTATACTTCCTTCACGGGCTCTTCATTTATGATTTAAAAACCATAACTGTCGTCTTTTTAACTGATATTTTTAAGTTATAATTGTTGCATATTTGATTCAAGCGATAGACAGTGAATTTTAGGCCATCTTTTGATTTTTGTAGTATGATTTGATTGTCTACAAACAATACTGTGTTTATAAATTTCTTAGTTGGGGTTATAGGGTGGAGTGGGTGATAGGATCCACCCTTGTCTGACTCCTCTAT